ATTGAATTAGCTTGTCAACGAGTTTACTCTTTGCCGTGTACGGTACTTGTGAGGGTTGCCTGTTTCATGTGAGGTTTATTGTACGTAAGGCTTATATTGTATAAATCGTGTTGAGGGTTACCTTTCTTGTTCGAGGGTTATATGTACAAAGGGCTTATATTGTAAATCGGGTTGAGGGTTACCTTTCTTGTGTGAGGGTTATTGGGACAGCTCAATCTGCGTGAGGGTTACTGGAATTTTGATAATAACAGGAATTGTACATTTGTACTTGTATAATAAGTTTATTATACGTGGGGCAGTTGATACCACGTGAGGGTTACCTACGGTTCAGTTACTACAAAGGGTGCAGTTGACCCTTGTTATAACCAGTGAGGGTTATTGCCTATATGTGAGATATATGTCCATTATTTATCGCCTCGTATATATTGTTCAGTGTGCATTATTGTAGATTATCGTAAATTATTGTAAAGCTATGATTACTGAACAAATCTAGTGATGATAGAGATTCTTGAATGAATCCTATCTATCATTGTCTATGTAATCACTAGTCTCTGTGAGGGTTACTCAGGTTCACTGTGAGGGTTACCCGGTTGAGGCCTATTGTCGCTACTTGTATTACTCTAATTTCATTCAATTAACCCTATAAAGGGGCCGGGGGCGGAATCCGCCCCGCCCCCCTCAACATTTTCCGCGATAGCCTCTAAAAAAAAATTTCGCGACCCGAGCTGTTATGACTTTTTAGCCTCGAGCTTTGCGCATCTTTTGATACCAAAAACATAAAAATCGGACTACGGGTTGCCGCATAGCGAAAAATTTTCCGGCGCTAAGCGCCGTGAAAACTGAATTTTTCCATATACGTCGTGTATACAGAGCAGAATTGCCTTTCGTACATATGAATAATTAATTAGCCATAATTCAGAACCCTTTGACCTATAGTCATGAAATTTCTTGGGTATGTTTAGGCAGAGTTGCTCTATGCATGTACTGAGTTTCAGAATTTTTCATCACTCGATGGCCGAGATCTTAGGGGGGTGGGCGGAATCCGGCCCCCCCCCCGGCTGAGAGATGGTAAAAATAACCCGGCCCCTTTAGGGTTAATTACTCAATCACAAAACGGTTCCACCAAACGAACAACTCCTAGGCTTTGTCCACCGTCGTTCGTTTATTGCCCGGCCCCCCCCCCTTTCGTTTGGGTAGCCGCTCAGCCGTTCGTTAGGCTAATAAATGTTTTTGTGGGATATATAATGTGTGGGTTGGAGTCCTGGTCCCCCTGGGTTCCGCCGACCCGCCGGTTCCGCCACAAATGGTGTCAGGATCGGTTTACCACATTACTATGGCAAGAACTTCATCTTCAGTTGCTGGTGCAAAAGATGATGATGAAGTCAGGCATCAGGCATAGTACTACATAACCTGACCAGCGAAGCTGAGCTCTCATGATAAAAGCAGCTACACTGGGCAATTCCGCACGCTTGAGAACTTTAGTGTCAGGGACCTTAATTGTCTTGCCAGTCTGATGCGTAAGATGTGCTCTTGCAGGAAAGGTGGAAATGGTTCAGCTTTCTGATGTGGCGGCTGTAGGTTGTCCAAGTTTCACAGGCATACAACAGAGAAGTCAGGACTGCAGCTTGATAGACAGACACGCAACTTTGTTTTCAAGCTTAGGCTTATGTTGAGCTGGCTTTGGATATCCGGTGTGCGATTTCGTCGTCTCAGTGGACCTCTCTGGACAGGGTACTGTCCAATGAGCATGTAAAGTTGTCCACAGAATCAGTGGCGTAGCCAGGAATTTTTCAGGGGGGGGGGGGGGGGGGGGGGGGGGGGGGGGGGGGGGGCTGGAACATTTCATGGGGGGGCGTCAAGCAGGGGCGTCAATCGCTTCTCAAAAGTGGGGGGGGGGACATACCTTGATCATAACTGATGCAAACGCGAAGCCCTTACGGCGTGGGGTTCGGGGCCCGCTTAAGGGCCCCGAATTTTTTTTGGATTTTCGATGCTCTGTGGTGTGATCTGAGGCAATTTCTTACCACTTTAACCAATAATTATCTTAGCACAAAAGATAATAATTTAAACATAATTTTCGAGGTTTTCTCAGCTAAAGGCCTAAGAAAATTTTGTGAACATTGTTTTCGAGGTTGGAGTCATTGAATCAGCTACCAGAATTCTGAGCTATAGGCGTGGGGTTCGGGGCCCGCTTAAGGGCCCCGAAAATTGTTGGATTCTAAATGCTCTGTGGTGCTATCTGAGGCAATTTCTGACCACTTTAACCAATATTTTCTAAGCAAAAGATACATTGTAGTACATAATAGGGCCCTGTAAATGAGACACGAGTTCAAAAATGGGGGGGGGGGACATTTGATATTGTGTCCCCCACGTACCCTTCAAAAGGTGGGGGGACATGTCCCCCTGTCCCCGCCAGGATTGACGCCCATGGCGTCATGTAGATCAATGATAATTTTTTTAGAAACTCAAAATCTCAGTGGGGGGGGGGGGGGGGGGGGGCGACAAGGTTTCATGGGGGGGGGGCGGTCGCCCCCCCCCCCCCACGCCCCCCCGGTGGCTACGCCACTGCACAGAATGAAAGATCATACGCTCTCCAATGACGATAAATGGTGGACCATATCAGCTTGGGTTGCGAAAGGCGATTTCTAAAGGTTACGTAACACTTTATTTGGAATTAAACTACCGGCACATGCACAGATTATGTTCACGTTGGCGGGCGAAATCTTTGAAAATTAATTTCTCCCGTTTGAAAGACCGTTTCTTCATGCAACTTTCAGTGCTTATTTCTTTTATAATGATCCAAGTATTTGTGCTAAAAATCGTTGTGATGTGTTCATTACCGTTTAGTTGAAATTGGAAAAATAGGCCTGGATACGTGCATTTTTGAAAGTTGTAACATAATTATGGCGTTTGCAACCTATGTCTATCTTTTCAAGCCTCACGAATATTAATAAGGTTCCTATCCATTAAGTTGTGCAGTAGAAAAGCCTCCTTCGCGAGTTATTTATGATAAATATCACTCTTTTTGACGGCTTCCATTGACGGTCGATACCGACTCACGCCGAGTGACGCTAATGAATTTGCTAATATGCCCCGTTCGTCATTGTGCTGCTGGGCCGAAATTGGTCAACCGTAGCGCAAATGGCGCTATAAGATCTTTACTGAAAACCATGCCCGTGGGTTTGGTCGGTAAAAAAATCCTCGTCGAAATTTTCCTTTGAGATAGTTAAAGGTGTAACACTAGCGTTTGCATCAACAGATTAAGCTGAAATTGGTAATATACTAAGATGATGTAAGTGTCCAACTACCCGTGAAATAACAACTTGGGGAAATTCCTAGAAATCGATATAAATACATAGATCTTGGAACGATTTCTTCCCGACTTTAAGGTCAGCTTTACCATAACCAGTAACAATGTTTTGGTCATTTGGTCAAGATGATGCCCTGCAGCAAGAATCGCTCTTGAAACTGTAAATATATTGTATGAACTTATACCAAAAAATATAAATGTACCACACTTCAACCTATACACTAAAAAAAAATGAACCCTGACTGCAGTAATATTAAACCAATTAAACGATTAAATAATACTTAACACTCAATTTTAGTTGCTTTCACCTTGATATAAAAACATAAAATGATAAAAGTGAAGTGTACTTTTATTAAGTTTCATCCACACGAAGAAAATGAGGAAAGACAACACCATTTAAAATTGAGTTAATGATAAATAAACTGTTTGGTTAATATTACTAAAAGCTCAAATTCATTATGTGCCCTTGATTCATTTCAGTACTAAAAACTTAAATCCATAACTTGTAGATGAAACGTGAAGTATTTACGTAATAAAAACATAAAGCAAACTAAAGCTGATATCGATAAAAGAGTCCTTAATTATACGTTAGATTTGATTAGCAAGTTTGAGTAATAAACACGTATATCACAAGGAGTGGGTATAACTTAAAGTCTTTAAGTCTTCAATGATAAATTCAATTTTCAATGAAATTGTTTTAATATTAGGTTGTATGTATTTGACATTAAACTACTTTTCGTGCGAACATAATATATAGTTTTTCGGGGAGGGGGTTTGTATTTACGTCCATCCAACCAGCAGGATTAGTACGGCAGGGGCTGGTACTGTCTGTGCATGGGGGCACTGTTATTTATTATTATAATTAGACCATTATTCACGCTATAGCGCTAACAGACAATATACAGTGTATGGGCCTTTCCAGGGCGATACGTCCGTGAAATTAAAAAAAAAAGGCACGAGAACGGCGATGGTACAAAAAAGGCCACCAATTCTTTTTTAAAAGGGGCACTTGTTCAGAAAAAGGGCACTTCTTAAAAATGGTGAAAAAAAGGGCATTTCAATGGAAAAGGGCAGTCTTGAGAAAATATTGGGGGAGGGGGGTACCCCCTTCCCCCCCCCCCCCCCCCCCCCCCCCCCCGCTGGCTACGCCTATGTTATTACTTTACAAAAAATGTATTCGTAAATATATAATGATTTCATCTGTACTAACTTGAACTGTTATACATGTCTTAAATTAGCAGGGCACTAAATATATTTGATTTATTTCTCTCATATATATGTTTATCTTTATAATCTTGAAAACTGTGCTTAAGTTAATGTAACTGTATCACTAAATAAACATCATCATTCAAACCCAATGCAGCACTTACCAGCAGTCTGGGTGCTCAGCTACAGGAGGGTTTTACCTCCTCTGGATGTAACCCCCATTTGTACTTATTTAATCTTATTGATTTATATTTACCAACTTCTGGTAATTTTTCATTGTATTTTTGTTGTACAAATGGAAACAGACAAACAAACACCCCAACACCCCAACAAAGAAACAAATAAACACCCCAACACCCCCAACAAACATGGGGAGTAAAGTCCGCCCTCTCACATTATGTTGTTCCATCGAACACGGGAAGACGGGATAGTATAGCGCCACCAATATAAACGTGGTACTCGCATTTTTATTTCTCGTAGCTGAGTACCTGTACTTCACCACGTCACGGGCGCTTAACAGTATATTATCGTGAACTTTAATTACTGATGCTAGGGACCATACTAAATCACACTTTAAAGTACAACATTCCCAACAACCTAATTTCATGAAGCGCAGAAGTTGCTACTTGCGAGGTTTGCCGGGAAAATGTTTCCTTGCTCTGGATGATCTGACGTGGTCTGATCATATGATCTTTGGAGAGCTAAATGTAGGCCTAAGCCAGTCATATTTCTCCCGATATAAATCAAACAATTAACAAGGTAAGCCGTTTAACATGATGTTTGGCATGATTTTCCTGGCGTTTGTTCATGTTGTTACTTAGTCCGAGTTTCTACTTGGACCTGTTGTGCGCTTTCTTGCAAATCACGCAATCTTAAGAATGAGCGCGCATTCTTAAGAATGAGCACGCAATCAGAAGAATGAGCGCTCATTCTTAAGATTGCGTGGGAATATCACGTGCGCAATTTATGAATTTTGCACAATCTTAACAAACATTGCACGGCATATAGGCCTAATTATGTTAAATGAAAGATAGTGGATATTTTGCCGGAGGTAATGACAGCAAACTAACGATTACTAAAGGTTTGCCGGCGGCAATCCATATCAACAGAGGGCGCTGTACTCTTTAAAATAGGGCTGAATTATAAGATGTATTAAATTCCCACCAAAAGTTGTGTAGCACGTTTGGTGTAATGGTTAAACAAAGGCTCTAGTAAGCGGGATGACTCGCGTTCGATTCCGACCGCACCACATTTTAAAGTTTTTTTTTCTCATCCCCAAATAAATAAGAATATTCTTCTTTTATTATTTTAACATGTCTCAAACATTTTTTGCAGAGTATTACATTTTCTTTTTCAGATTTGTGGCTCTGGAGGATTTTTTTTAAAAGGGAAATAAAGTCCGACATTATAAAATGGTCTGAATCCCATCTTGTGAATACGAGGTAACAACGATTATTTTGGCATGGAGCCAGACTAAAACTTGTCACCGGAAAATGTTTAAGTACCAAAAAACAGTAACTGCGCATGTTCAGTGCATATCCGGCAAACTAACGTTTACTAAAGGTTTGCCGTCTCCGGCAAAATATACACTGCCTAAATGAAATGTATAGGCGGTTAAAGGGGAAATAATTCATATAACGAGGAAAGAAAATGATCTACTGCTTCTGTACTCGTATAACTACGATAATTTGAATCAAATTAAACCTGTTATTATTGTTTTTTTCTTCCCACTATGGGAAGTTTTGTAATAACGGAGGACTGGGAACTACTCAACTAGTCTGGGAAGTGCTTTGTTTAGGCTAGACAAGTTACAAGTTCCTGTATGTATCATATGATGTCCAGAAGCTGCCAAAATTGCTCTTTTGACTAGATACAATCCAGCTCTGCGGCGTAATGGTGGGGTGTGAACAATAGCAATTTAAGTGGCAAATAGCATTAGCGCTATGGGATGTCACTATTCATTCTCATTTTTACCCCTCAGCCGAGAGGCTCGAGGGGTATTGTCATCGCCTAGGGCGTCCGTCCGTCTGGATGTATGTATGTCTGTCCGTCCGTCCGTCCGTCCGTCCGTCCGTCCGGGCAGCTTAGTTTCCGGATGATAACTTGAGTTAGAAATGTTGTTTGGGGTTGTAACTTCGGTAGGGGGTTGCCCTTGGGAGTAGGCAAGTTGGGATTGGTTTTGAGGTCAAAAGGTCAAAGGTCAAGGTCACCGTGGTGAGTTAAATGTAAATGGTTTCCGGATGATAACTTGAGTTAGAAATGAGATTTTGGTGTCTAACTTTGGTAGGGGGTTGCCCTTGGGAGTAGGCAAGTTGGGATTGGTTTTGGGGTCAAAAGGTCAAAGGTCAAGGTCACCGTGGTGAGTTAAATGTAAATGGTTTCCGGATGATAACTTGAGTTAGAAATGAGATTTTGGTGTCTAACTTTGGTAGGGGGTTGCCCTTGGGAGTAGGCAAGTTGGGATTGGTTTTGGGGTCAAAAGGTCAAAGGTCAAGGTCACCGTGGTGAGTTAAATGTAAATGGTTTCCGGATGATAACTTGAGTTAGAAATGAGATTTTGGTGTCTAACTTTGGTAGGGGGTTGCCCTTGGGAGTAGGCAAGTTGGGATTGGTTTTGGGGTCAAAAGGTCAAAGGTCAAGGTCACCGTGGTGAGTTCAATGTAAATGGTTTCCGGATGATAACTTGAGTTAGAAATGAGATTTTGGTGTCTAACTTTGGTAGGGGGTTGCCCTTGGGAGTAGGCAAGTTGGGATTGGTTTTGAGGTCAAAAGGTCAAAGGTCAAGGTCACCGTGGTGAGTTAAATGTAAATGGTTTCCGGATGATAACTTGAGTTAGAAATGAGATTTTGGTGTCTAACTTTGGTAGGGGGTTGCCCTTGGGAGTAGGCAAGTTGGGATTGGGTTTGGGGTCAAAAGGGCAAAGGTCAAGGTCACCGTGGTGAGTTAAATGTAAATGGTTTCCGGATGATAACTTGAGTTAGAAATGAGATTTTGGTGTCTAACTTTGGTAGGGGGTTGCCCTTGGGAGTAGGCAAGTTGGGATTGGTTTTTGGGTCAAAAGGTCAAAGGTCAAGGTCACCATTGTGAGTTAAAGGTAAATGGTTTCCGGATGATAACTTGAGTTAGAAATGCAATTTTGGTGTCTAACTTTGGAAGAGGGTTCCCCTTGGGAGAAGGCAAGTTGGGATTGGTTTGGGGGTCAAAAGGTCAAAGGTCAAGGTCAGCATGGTGAGTTAAAGGTAAATGGTTTCCGGATGATAACTTGAGTTAGAAATGAGATTTTGGTGTCTGACTGAGGTAGGGGTTTGCCCTTGGGTACAGGCAAGTTGGGATTGGTTTTGGGGTCAAAAGGTCAAAGGTCAAGGTCACCGTGGTGAGTTCAATGTAAATGGTTCCGAATGATAACTTGAGTTAGAAATGAAATGTTGGTGTCTAACTTCGGTAGGGGGTTTCCCATTGGTACAGGCATGTTGGGACTGGTTCTGGGGTCAAAGGCCAAAGGTCAAGGTCACCACGTGAGTTAAAGGTTAATGGTTTCCAGATGATAACTTGACTCTGGCTGAGGGGTTTCAACAGCAACGCTGTTATTTTTCACATTCTTCATTCTTACGCCCCCCCTTTGTTATCCCAAAAATCAGAATTCTTTTCACTACACTATTATTATGTATCTTATTTTTTCCCGGTCCCCCGAATACGTTTATACTTTCATATCCACTCTTCTTTTCATCGTTAAATCTTTTCCTAGGTAAGTGACCTTGAGTTGCAACAGTATAATTGTTAAGAATCAGTGAACGAGGATGCAGCTAGACTGCTTGGCAGCGACAAGACCGTTATCTTGTCACGCATTCTTAAGAATGTGCGCTCAATCTGAAAGAGTTGCGTAAGGATCCAGTTGCGCAATCATAAGAATGTGCATGCGCATTCTTATGATTAAGCAAATCACAAGAAAGCGCACAACAGACCCAACTTATCGCCTTTTTAACATTCGGACATGGTCTGGCGATAGTAGGGTCCAAGCTAAAATAAATCCTTATATGCTGAGCAACACAATTCTGTCCATGTCATTGACTCCAAAACCCAACATTGCCCAACAAAAACATCAGATTTCACCCTCAAAACAGCCTCCAAATTACTAGATAGGCCTACGCCACCTACGGTACAAGTAGATATTGATAATTAAGATGATTGTACTGAAGTTTACTTACGATCCGGATGAAAAGTGAAATTTCCAGTTCAATACCGAGAGCTCCCCTCGCGATCATGCACACCTTAAATTTCCGACTCGTGTTTGAATTGCGATGTGGTCTTCATGCCCAGCGTTCATTCGATGGTCCCCGTATCCTGACTCCTGAGCCCGCGCGATGCAACCGAGCGTGCGCGATACATTGATTATGATAATGAGTAGACTGGATCACGTTTTTAAACACAAGTGCATTTCGAACCATAAAAGGGAGTCTGGAACTAGCTTGAACTGGTTTCCGTCCATAAAATCTGCCCTAGTTCCCGACTCCCTATTATCGTTCGAAATGCACTTGTGTTTACAAACGTAATCCAGTCTACTCATTATCATAATCGATGCATCGCGCGCTCGGTTGCATCACGTGCACCCGATAACGGAATTGCACTCGGGATACGGGGTCTTCATAGGCCCGTCGGGGACCGTCGAATGAACGCTGGGCATGAAGACCACATCGCAATTCAAACAAGAGTCGGAAATTTGACGTGTTCATGATCGCGAGGGGAGCTCTCGGAATTGAACGGGAAATTTCATCCGGATCGTAAGTAAACTTCAGTACAACCGTCTTAATTATCGATATCTGCTTGTACCTCAGGTGGCATATCTAGTAATTTGAAGGCCGTTTTGAGGGTGAAATCTGATGTTTTTGTTGGGCAATGTTGGGTTTTTGGGTCAAAGACAGAATTGTGTTGCTCGGCATAGGATTAGCTTGGACCCTACTATCGCCAGACCATGTCCGAGTGTTAAAAAGGCGATAAGTTGGGTCCAAGTTACTCGGACTAGGCATTTGTGTAGTCCAAGCATAGAGCTATATTAATAGGCCCGCCAAACGGCCCTCACGCACGGCCTAGACAACGCTGATTCTCGGGGTCGTGAGCTGTTTTCAAAGTACGGTAATTTCCGTTTTAGGCGTCATAAATGGCTGAAACTTGTGTACAATAAACATTTTCATATCTTTTGTCTAATGTGCAAATTTTATTTCGTAAAGACTTCAAATAACTTTGTGACAGCAAGTTGAATATGTGACCGCAGTGCGCGGCGCAATGCTAACCCGGAACTTGTCCCCATCATTTTCTCTGAGAGCTACTTTTCAGTGCCATTTTTACCCGATAACCCCATCGTAGATCGACAAATCAGGTACCAACTTAAAGAGGAAGACGTCATCTTTTCAGTGACGTATGCGCGTTTGTCATTTTTTGAAGAGGGGAGATTTTATAACCTGTACCAAAAATGTCTTTCCTCAATACAAGCAGAAATGTCACATAATTCCAGAATGCGCATACGGCTTATGCAAAATGGGGATATGAAGTCACTAAATATGGTTTAATCTTGCCAATAAGTGTCATTTATCCGGGTAAAAATCGTCTCCAAAGTTGCCCCTCCTGAGGAAAAAAACGCCACTCGCACTTGGTCACAAGTGTACACAGACCGGGTCAGCGCGTCTGCACACATGCCTGCAAAACACGAGGTCGGCAGGCTGACCACACGCAGTTGGCATGGAGTGATTGTGTGTGCGTGTGC